ATTTGTGTCTTCTCTCTTTTTTGATGATGAATATGGCTAGATTTTTTATTAAATGCCCAGTTTCCCCCTCCATATACACTGGTTTTCTCTCTTTGTGTAGTGAAGAATTCCTGTTACCCGAAGAGACACTGGCTTTTGTCCTTAGCTACTGAGAGGTCTTCTCTAGGCCCTGGGAATATCATGCCTACTAAGAGAGTTGTTGCTCATCTGGGACCTTTGACCACTGGTCATTCTAAGAATATGACTTGTAAAATGTGGGCTGTGTTGCACCTGCCTACCCTCCTGAGAAACAAGAGACTTCAGGTATCAGCCGGACCTCCAGAAGGGCCTGGACAAATGGTCTCCTGTGTAAGCAGGGTGTGACTGAGCCTCCATAAATATTCTGGACACCAAAGGCTTGGGTGAGCTTCCCTGGCTGGCAGTACTTCCTGTGTATTGTCTCACATCAAAGCTAGCATAGTAACTTGTCTGTCACCCAGACTCCACCCTATGTGAGTCCTTTTTTGGCTGATTTTAATCTGTATATTTTCCAGATAATAAACCCTAACCATGAGTACAATAGCTTTCTTGAAGTCCTTCAAGTGAATTATGGAAACTGGGTGCTTTGGGGAAGCCTCTGACCTTGCAACTGATGTTAGAAGTAAGGGTGACCTTACTCCATGCCCTCATTTGCAGGTGGCTAAAAGCTCGCATGATGTTGCTTTGCTGATTTCTGTTTTATTTACTTCTGGTCTTATTTATTTATTTCCTTCTACTTCAGGTTTTATTTACTCTTTTTTATTACTTTTAAGGTAGAAGATTGGATAATTGATTATATGCCTTTTTCTTTACTAATATATGTATCTTATTCTATACATGTCCCTCTACTAGTGCTTTAGATGCAGCCTACATATGTTAATATGGTGGAGGGTTTTTTTAATTAACAAAAATATTTTCTGATTTGTCTGAATATTTCTTCTGTAATTCATGGGTTATTTATTAGCTGGTTGCTTAATTTTCAAATATTTGAGTATTTTCAGATGTACTTAGGTTTTTTTCTATGTTAATACTTTTATGGTCAAAGAATGTTATTTCTATAATTTCAATCCCCTTAAATTTATTAAGACTTATTTTATGGTTCAGAATGTGGTCTTTCCTGATAAATGGATTGACTCTTTGATCATTAAAAAATGTCTTTATATCTAATAACATTTTTATTTTAAAATATGTTTTGTCTGTTATTAGTGTAGCTATGCCAGTTCTCTCATGATTATAGTTTGGATGGTATCTCTTTTGTCATCTTTTTACTTTACACATATTTGTATCTTTGAATCTAAAGAGCATCTTATAGACAACATATAGTTGGATCTTGTTTTTAATCCAGCCTGACAATCTCTGTCTTTTGATTGGATTGTTTAGTCCATTCCCAGTTAACATTATTATCAATATTGTTGGATTTATATCTCTCATTTTACTTTTTATTTTACATGTCACATGTCTATTTTGCCCCATTATTTCTCTTTTACTACATTCTTTTGCATTAAGTGAATATTGTCTAGTAAAACATTTTAATACTTTTAATTTTGTTTCTATATGTGTAAGTAATTTCCTTAGTGGTTGCTCTAGGACTTATCATATGTATCTTATCAGAATGTACTTAAGATTTATACTTGCCCATCAATACATGATTGGATTAATAAAATGTGGTATATGTATACCATGGAGTACTAGTCAACTCTAAGACACAATGGTGATATAGCACATCTTGTAATTTTCCTGGATAGAGCTGGAACCCATACTATTAAGTGAAGTATCCCAAGAATTGAAAAAGAAGCACCACATATACTCACCAGCAAATTGGTAGTAACTGATCAGCACCTAAGTGAACACATAGGAATTACATTTATTGGGTATTGGGCAGGTGGGAGGGGGGAGGAGGGCATACATAATGAGTGAGATGTGCACCATCTGGGGGATGGTCACGCTTGGAGCTCAGACTTGTGGGGGAAGGGGGCCAAGGGCATTATACACAACCTTAAAATTTGTACCCCCATAATATGCTGAAATAAAGATATGTGCTGAAAAAAAATAATGTACTTAAGATTTATACTAACTAAATTCCAGTGATATCTAGAAATGCTACTTCTCTATATTTCTTTGCTCCCTTTTAGTGATATTATTATTGTATATATCATATCTTTTCATGTTACAAACTCCACAATACATTGTTATCATTATTACTTTATATTATTTCATGTCGGTTAAAGGACTTTACAAATAGTAAATGTAATATGTTCATAACAAACTCATTTGCCATATATTTTCTTTCTCTGTCAGTCCATGTTTTGCTTGATGGCACCATTGCCACGAGCAGGTGATGCCAGGCATCACCTTGGGTGCCTCCTTTTCCCTGGTTTCCAATAACACATCAGTTGAGAAGCCCCATTTCTGCTACTGTCAATACACTCCCACCGCCAGAGTCATAGTATAGACTCAGCATCAAATAAGTAATTGCCTCAACCTTAAACTCAACACCAGTTCCTTCTCTATATTGCCCTATTTCTTAATGACTTCTCTAAAGGACGAATCTGATTAAATCAGCCTCCTACTTAAAGTCCCAAATACTTTCACATGATATACAAGGTCTACATAATACATTTCTACCCCACCTGTCTACTTAATACATTTCTACCCCACCTGACACTCATAGCTCCAGCTCTTTGCCTGGGACTCCATCCTCCCTTACTCCCCGTAACTAAAACATGACACACTATCAAGAATCTTAGCTGACATTCATGCCTTTCTCTTCCTGTCTTTGATGCTCTGATCCCAATTCTCTGCTGATAGACTCTTTATGGTCTAAGAAATACCTCAGATGTGGCTTCTCCTTTTGGAACTTTTTAATTTTATGATTGGCCCAGGAATTCATCTTTCTTATATATTTTCATAATTATTTGTAAGCATATTCATCATGGAATTCACTGTATGAAATTATTACTACATACTTGTACATTTCTCTTCTCCCCTCCAATCCCCACCTTATGCTCTGAGTGCTCCTAGGTCTGAGACACTATGTTGTTCTTAGAATGCCAACAAGTCGATGTTCAGTAAATATTTGTTGAAAATGGACAAATTAGCAATCAATTTAAAGGTAATAGAACAAATGTTGTCTTCCTAATGCTATTCTGCCACGGTGCGATACTGAGGATATCTGTACTTCTTTGGAATGAACTATATTCTGCTAGATATTTATCAAAATTCTTCTTTGAAAATGTCTCCTAGGTTTTATGGATTTCATCTCTACATTCTATCTCTGTGCTAAGTTAATTACCGATTTACGTAAGATTACAAAAGCTTTAATCTGCAATCTTAAAGTGGCATTAGAGAAAGAAACACATAGGATTTGATTTGCTATAATCATGTGTAACCATTCTATAATTGGGCCATATTAATAGAATCTAGATTGAGATGGGTTGCTAGCACTATTTGCAACAAAAGAAATGAGATTTTCAACTAGAATATACAATACTGAATTTTACAAAATCAAGAAAAAGCATTTACTAGGCGTGGATTGGAGTGCAGAAAGTTCTACATATTAACATAAGCAAAATGAGGTTTCTGGCCTTAGGCATCAAATTCAATCATTTCATCTCTCCAAGTAGCTCTTTCTCTATTTTAATATCCCCACAGGCACACACTCACAAGGATAGAAATGATGGGAGTGATTTTGAATTTTAAATCCAAATCAAAGTCTAAATGGAGTACAGAATACAATATTTAGCATACTAGGCTTAGCATCCTAGCTTTTAAGTTTTAAAATGAAAGGATCTATTAAAAATTATGACAGAATAATGTTTACTTATTAAAGTTTCTAATATGATTTGGCTTTTGAATTTTAGGCACCAAACTTAAATATGGAAAGTAACCAGTATACCTGGAGATACCATTCTTATCACAAAACTGTAATTATTGCAAACAGTTACCTCAGCCCTCTGTGCAAGTTAACCAATTAAACACTATGTATAAACATATATAAATATAATCTCTTAATGGTAAGTTTAATTTAATAAAAATTGAACATAACTGACAAATGTATGTTATATAAAACAAAAGATATAAAAATTATGCACCAATATGAGCAAAATGGGACATTTAGCTGAATATTTACAATATCCCAAAGTTGGGTAATTACAGTAGATTATATATTATGTACAATTATATTAGAAAACGAAACAGAAATTGGAAAGCCCACTCCGTACTTCAAATGACATGATATCTGTACAAAGAAATGTCATGAAATCAACTCACCTCCAACATCACAAACAGGCTAATCTAATTAGATGTAGCTATTAACAAATTTCTCTACTCCTAAAAAAAATCTGGTGATTTCTCACTACCTATGAATAAATTTCATATTCCTTATCCTGATATTTAAGGCCATTCAGTCATTCTAGTGGCTAGAACCTTGTACCCTATCTATTTTCCATAGCTTTATTCTTAGGTATTTTGTATGTGAGACTAGTGATTATGTAAAGTAAAAAAGAGAAGTTCAGAGTAGTTCCAAGAAAATAATATCTATTTCTAAATAAAAGATGAAAACCAAAGGAAAACATTTTTAAATCCACACTAAACACAGCATTTTTTTTATTAGAAGCTGGGAACATATAATGAAATTACGTTCCAAGGTTGAAGTAATAGTATTTATGTACTTATTCAAGCATCTCCTCCAGCTGTCAAAAACCATCCTCACACAACCACCCTGTCCCCACTACCATATTTTTGTGTCCTAATCTAAAATAAAAGCTTCCGTGTAGGTAGTGTATTTGAGAAGTGATCCTAGAGAGCAAGAATAAGGTCTCAGGGTAGTAAAACATGCAAGAAGGGAATGACAATAAAAGGATGTGTATTCTGTTAGCCATTGCTGGGGGCCACTGATGTTCAAATCCACAGGGACCTTTTGAAGGGCTTGTGAAATACCTCACAGAAATGACTTCTGGGGGACCAAAACTGGAAGTACATACCCATTGGTTCAGCAGTCAATGGCGGACACACTCCTGAGTTGTCCAGGCTTAAGTGTTTAAAGGGATCCCATAGGCGCCAGTACCTTAGTGTCGGAAGGATCCTAGGAAAGGATGGGAAGAGTGAACAATATCTGTGCAAAGCGTGTCACTATCTGTGCAGAAATTGGCTGCCATAACAGTGACTGAAGTAAGAGATGGGGATGAGAGGGGGCTGATGCACATGCTATATAGTCGAGCATATTAATTAACCATCACTTGTTGTTATGGTTACAGACATGCAACTAGAAAATTTGAAATATCATCAACATCAACCTACAATTGGATACATTATATAAACCTCTTCATAGCCTCTAAGAAGACATAGCATCCACTGGCACCTGTTCTGTTAGGCACGCTAGGCAAATCACAAATACTAATAAAATGTATTATATAAATGAAAATAAATTTTTGCATTCAGGGTTGGGCTTACCTAGTGATAAGATCCAAATTTATGTGTATATTGGAAAGCCCTGTAACAGATGGATGAGACATTGGGCAATCTGGACATAAATCCCACTCTATTAATTACATGATTGTGGAGAGGTAATATCTGTAAAACTGAGAAAATACCTAACAGCTAAGGATTATGCAGAGACAATTTTTTTTTTCCAGGACACAATAAACTAGCACCCAAAAACAGTTCCTGTAGCTAAATAAATGACATTTTGTATTAGTATTCTGATAAAAACATAAATAAAATGTAAACAAAACATTATTGGTCTTTTAAGGTTGTATAAGAAATCTTAGTCAAGGAAGACATTAGATTTGAAAGTCTTTGCTAGAGAACCTAATAATAAAACACATTAATCTGATAAGATGCAAATATCAAATGCAGCTGTGTCTATCAACATTCATTCATTTATTTATTTGCTTATTTATTCAATGCTATATAGCAGGCACTGTGTTTGCTGTTGGCCAGTAGAGAACAAAGCAGAGACTGTGACCTAAATCCTATAGTTCAGACGGGGAGAGAGATGCTGAACAAATAATCACATGAATCAATCTGTAATTGATTAGGACAGATGATATCAAAAAAATGAGTAGCACGACACTGCGTGTTATACATGCAGTAGAGGGAAGGGCCTGTGAGGAAGGAACTAGACTGCAAGCATCCTCAAACTATGGCCCACGGGACATGCAGCCCGCCGAGGACATTTATCCGGCCAGCTGGGTGTTTTTGCTGCTGCTGCCTGTCCTGCTTAGCAGCCGACTTGTCCTGGCCCATAGTGCGCATGTGTGGAATGTGTGCCGCACTCTCCAACGGCCCTCCACGGGTTTGAGGGACAGTGAACTGGCCCCCTGTTTAAAAAGTTTGAGGATCTCTGAACTAGAGTGTAGATTACCTATTTAGCTATTGCGAATTATGTGCCTTTTTCATTCTTTGATACAAAAAAGATAATAATTTGTAGTTTTATCTTGCTTTCCCCTGATTAATAATGCAGAGGTGAACCTTCTCCTACATTTACCAGATAATTTCTTCTTCTAATTATTATTAGAGTATTTCATCCTCATATTTTTGCCCTTTTCCCTGTTATATACTATGTTTTCTTCTCAATAATATGAAGGTAATCTTTATATGTTCTTTGTGCATGTTATCTAAGTAGAAAATGTTTTCTTATTGTTTTCTATCACTTTGATTTTAAGTATGTTTATGCAGATTTTGTCACACAGAACATTTTAATGTATATGCAGTCAACCACATCAGTGTTTTATTTACAATATCGCACTTATGTTTTGTTACCAAAGGTCTTCATTTTCCCTGAAGTTATAAAATTATTTTCCCAGTTATTTCTATTATGTTCATAATTTGAAGTGTTTATCTTTATTCTTTTTTCTTGTTTAGACTTTATGTCGTATATAATACACTATAAGGCTCCTATTTTCTGTTTTCACATGGATAATCAGTTTCCCCAACATTGTTTATAAAATTGTCCATTCTTTCCCTAGTAATTTGAAATACCATCCCCATCACCTGTATGCAGATGCATTGCCCTAGCTACCTCTTTATTTATTAATTGATGTTATTTTAATTCTGCGGTTTTTCGCTGTATTTTTCTATATGATAGTACAGAGCCTCCCTTATTTGCTCACCTCTTATGAGAGTTTTATTGGCTATTCTCACACATTTTATTTTTTAGATAGATTTTAGGATTAGCTTATCACAATCCATTAAAATCATGTCATGATATTGAATGAGATTGCAGTTTAATTTTGGGAAAACCAATATATTTTGTAATTCTAAACACTCCTATCCAGAAGCATGCTATGTGTTTGGAAAACCTTTTGTTAAATTTCTCTTTATATGTTTGAAATTCTCAGACACTTGCCATATATTAATGAATATTTTTGTCTAATTCAGGAAAGAATGTGAATAACACATTGTCACTCTTAACTTTTATTTCTAACAAATCACACAGATATATTTATTTGCCAATTTTCAAAAGATATGTTTAACATCATTGCAAGAATGAAAATGTATAATGCTTAAATGCTTCCTGTGTAAAATCTCTATTTATGATTATACTGTTTTGCTATTTATTTTTGTTATTTAAGAATCGAGACATATGGTGACTTTCAAAATGGTGATGTGAAGAGCATGGTAACAAAACAATCATTTAACTGCCAAAAATTATGAAAAATGAACCAATTATTTAAAGTCTCTTGAAATTGTCCTAAGGGCATATAGCAAATGTGAAACAGGGACTATCGTTTGCATTCGAATCACAACCTGCTCCTGATGCCACCTCCCAAATCAGTAAAATTAAGATCTAGTCTGAGCAAGAGTGACCACAAGATGGGTCTCCCACCGCCTCTAGCTCTCTGTCTGGGGCTACAGTTTCAAGTCAGGAGGGGCAGCTGGCATGTCTTATCCCATTAGCTCCATGTTGTAGAAGCTCTATTCTAAGCAGACATGGCAGAGAGGCCTGGTGGACCCTTCCACCACCCAGCCCTTACTTGTACAGTGAATCCTCTACCACATGAAAGGCTAAAAATACTGGGCTTAAATCAACCCCACCTTAGGCTAATCATAGGATGTAAGTTCCGCTTTCACATGCCCCGGGGCCACCATTCCCACCCTGTGCTCCATTCATAGGGCAGGGTTTTCACTCCAGGAGAAAAGGATTATTATTCCCACCACCAGCTCTGTTGTAGTGGTGTGCACAGATTTTGCCCAGAGAAAGATGCAGGCCATAAGTACAAAGAGTTTTGTAGATCTCTCTAAGAAGACTAAATTAATTTGAAGCAAAGACTGGGGAAGTCCATGCCAAAGGGCATTGTCAAAAACAATAATAGGGGGCCAGGCACTGATGGCTCACACCTGTAATCCTACCAATTTGGGAGGTAGAGGCAGGATGATTGCTTGAAGCCAGGAGTTTAAGACCCACCTGAGCAAGAGCAAGAACCTGCCTCTACAAAAAATAGAAAAATTAGCCAGACATTGGCGGCATGTGCCTGTAGTCTAAGCTACTCGGGAAGCTAAGGCAAGAGGATCACTTGAGCCCAGGAGTTTGAGGTTGCAGTAAGCTATGACTCCACTACACTCTAGGCTGAGAAACAGAGCAAGACACTATCTGAAAAAAAAAAAAAAATGAAACAATAATATTAGAGATCTTGATGGTGAGCAGCTAAGAGGAGGTGTGTAGCTCCATGATACTTCTATTAACAATAGAAAAAGTAGACCAGCTAGAGATTTCACAGAGCAAACCAGGGAAAGAGACCATAAAAAAGAGCCCTCCTGGGACCAGAGGAAGATCAAAGACAAGAAGCACTCAGCCCCTCAAAAAGGGCCTTACTTTAATTGGATCAGATTATTAAGTGTTTTATGTTCTAGGATGTTGTCAAAAACAATAGCTCAATCAGCTACCAATTAGTGTGTCACACAGCTGAGTGTGATACCAGTAGGAACAGAGCAGCCAGAAACTTAACTGGGAAATCAAAGAGACTGGCAGTCACAGAGAACACAGCTAAAACCATTGTTATCCATGGTGGCCAGGCAGACTTTGCACATGCCCAGGACTGCATGCTCTGTGAAATGACATCAGAAGTCGTGCACTGCTGGGAATATAATTGACTTAATACAGCCAAGCCGCCAGACAAATACAGAAGCAAACAAGAGCCAGCCTCAGGGGTGTCAGTATCAAGAGTTGCTACAATGTGTTATCTAAAATGTATGGTCTTCAACAAAAAAAAATTACAAAACATGTAAAGAAACAAAAAGGTGTGTTTCCTACACAAGAATCACTAAGAATGTAACAAAAAGTTTAAAAATCATTAACAGGATTAAAATGGCACACTAGAAAATATTGACTAAATATGAACGAAAGAAGAGCAAAAAAGCATGAGATATACAGAAAACAAAAAGGGAAATAGTAAATACAACTCCAACCATATTAATAATATCATGAAACATTAATGAATTAAACAATCTAAAGACAGACTATTGTTAGATTGGTTAAAATAAATAAGAACAAACTACATGCTCTCTCTAGAAGACAAACTTTAAATACAGAGATACAAATAGGCTGAAAGTAAAAGCATGGAAAACACATATACAAGTGCAATCATGAGAAATCAGGAGTGACAGTATTAATATTAGACAAAATAAATTTTAAAAGAAAAATGTTAGATACAAAGAGGGACATTTTTAATAATCAAAAGTCAATCAAAATACATGAAGCAAAGCGAAATTGAGCTAAAGAGAAAAATAAACAATTCAACAACAATAGTAAAATAATTCAATATGCCATTATCAATAAGGGATAAAACAACTAGGCAGAAGATCAAAAAGGAAATAGAGACTTGAACAACAGCATAATCCATGTACACTTAGCAAACCAGACTAGAACACTCCGCCCAACAACACCAGAATACCCATCTTCTCAAGTGCACAGGGGACATTCTTCAGGATACACCATATGCTGAGTCATAAATAAGCTTCAATAAATTTAAAAGGATTCAATTATGCAAATTATGTTCTACAACTATAATGCAATTAAATTAGAAATCAGCAACAGAAAGACACTTGGAAAATTCACAAATATGTGGAAATTAAACAATACAA